TCCCTGGAGCTGCCTGAGCCAAAAACAACACTTCAAGGTTTAATCTTCGTGCAGTTTTAGCTGGGGAGGGGAGGGGGAGCTGCAGGGGGGCACAGCAAGGAACACATCCCACCCTGCTCCTGTCCCAGGTGCCCGAGCTGGCCGTGGCCTTTTGGGGTCCCACAGGACCCGAGCTGAGCAGGAAGGAGCTTTTTGTGCTGCCTGGGACTCGGGGAGGGGGGAGGACTCTGGGCACCCAACACCCAAACGTTCTGCAGGGCAAGAGGCGACCCCTCTGTGGCAAAGCCAAAGCAAAGCAACCAACCAGCACCCCTCCCCCCAAGGCAAAGCAACCAACCAGCACCCCTCACCCCTTTTTGGGGGTTTCTTTCCCCTCCCCACGGGTGGGCTGGGGTGAAAGGACCTCAGCTCGGGGGGGTGTTCTGGGGCCAAAGCCTTCGCTGTGCCCGCAGCCCACGGAGCAGCCACTCCCCCTCCTGCCAAAGGCCAGGAGAGGCAGAGCTCTCTGCGGGTGCTGCTGTGACTGGCTTTTTATTTCTCCTCCAGCTCACCCTTCCCTCTTCTTCTCCTTTATCCCTGTCCAGGCTGGTGGAGGTCTGAGCTGGAATCAGCTTTCCAGAAGCGCTCGGTACCCAGAGCTGCTGCGGCCACCTTGGAGCTGCACCCTAGCCACGAGCTTGGCTGCCCCCTAGCCACGAGCTTGCCAGTGGGAGCAACTGGGCTCCGAGCTCTTCTGAAACCTGGCCCCACCTCACAGGGAACCCTCCGGGAGGAACAGGGTGTGAAATCTTCTCCTGGTGTCTCGTGTGAGTGTCCAAATCTCAGCCAGGCCCTGGCCGTGTCCTTTCAAACCGCGTCTCCGCGGTGCTGTCGCCTCGTGGCTGTTTCCTCTCCTCTGGAAATGGGCCCATCTGGGGACTCACGTGGGCCTGGGGAGATAAGTGGTATGGTGTCCCCCCCCTCCAGGGCCTTGAAAATCTATGAATCACTCCAATATCTGGGCACTTGATGCACATTAGTGGATTAATCCTCTCTGCGAGGGAGGGAACGAGCGGCGGCGTGGCTCAGGTGGGAAATGGAGCCAGATCTGAGCCAGAATTTTTGGGGGGTTGGGGTCACAGCTGTCACAGCTTCACCTTCAGGCCCCCCAGCCCTCGGGGGCACCCGTGACCCTGCATTAGTTGCCTCTGTGGCTGTGCTGAGCGAACAGGGGACGTCTCCCCGGCTGCCCCGTGGCTGGGGATCCATCTGAGCCCCCCACCCCACGGCGAGGTGGGTGGGTGGGGTGTGGGAAGAGTGGGCAGGAGGAGGTTGCTGAGGTGCTGGATGGGCAGGGATGTGTGCAGGAGGTCCAGCACCATCCATCAGTGGCACTGGCCTTGCTCTCACGCCGTGTCTCCTGGCTTGCTGCCCGCTGGGAGGGCCCCAAGAGAAGGAGGTGGGGGCTCCTCACACCAGGCAGTGCCCAGAGAGCAGGAAGGGGATTCCATTGAGATGTCCCCACACAGGGATGAGAGTGAAAAACCTGGAGGGGTTGGTCACAGCCAGCTGGAGAGGAGCCAACGTGGGCCTAGGTGGCCACCAACATCCTGGCTTGGGTGTGGCCAGGAGGACCAGGGCAGGATCATGGCTCTGGGCTGGGCACAGGGGAGGGTGGCCCCTCAGTCCCTG